AGATTCTCTTTGGAGAAGAGATCTGAGCGCCCTTGGCCCCTTTGGGGCCGAGGCGAATTTGCCCTTTTGCTGTCCAAAACTACAATCAAACTGTTCAACCATTGTTGTGTTGTTTTTGGTCGGTGTCAACTAGCACCAACATAATCATTTAGGAATTTGAGTTGAAGCAATATTTGAGCAGCCTGGTTGTTACCTGCAAGTTGCTCGGCGCCACATAGCACATGTGCTTTTGGCTTTCCCCTAAAGCAAACCGAAAGATTTGCAATTGTGTTAATCTTGCAGATCCACTATTTAGTACCATGTTAGTTGCCTCAGTAGCCGCGGAAGTATACACTCCACCCCCAACTGAAAATGGAGTATGCACTAGTGTCTGGATAGTGGCACGGCCATTTGCCCGTCAAGGCTAGTGGCTCGGCCTTTTGAGTGCCCCGTTTCGGTCCCTAGCAGGCCCAGATCCAGTTACCTTGGAGACAGGTGAGCCATCAAAGAAAGAACGGGGTGGGCGTAACCTGGCTTTTGGGGGCGGGGCTGGATACCTCAAACCAGGCAGGTTAGCAGGTATGGGCCGGGTGGGTTACCACCCCGTTAGTTGTTTCGTTGTTGTTGTTGTTTTTTTTGCTTGGGGGGGCATGGGGGAGAAAGGGTTGGTCGCCTCGAAGCCGGAAGGTTCGCAGGTGGGGTCTCGCAGATATTTTCGGTTAGGGGCGCCCACCACAACGACCATCCACGCCGACTTGGCGACCTGCAAGGCAGAGGACCCACCGAACCGCAGCGAACCGCGCACGCTTTTTGCGCACGGCTTTGTGAGATGGACGGTTTTGTTTTTTTTGTAGAGTACCCCTTTCTGGCTGGTTTTGAAAGAGAGCCAAAAGGAAAACCATAATTGGGGGGGGGGTTCCCTTTTTGTCAAAACACACTCCCTGGTATTTTCGGGCACCATTTGGTATGCGTTTGTGCAGGTGCCCGTCAGTTTTGGTTTTGATAGATCGGGTTGCCACAGAGCAGCCGCCAAGTAACCACCCAACCAACAAACCAACAAACCAACCAACACCCGTTCAAAACGTCACCTTTTGCGCCCATTTGTGTTTGTTCTCTTCTTCTTTTATTTTTGTGTGTGTGTGTGTGTTTCCTTGGAATCAACCGAAAACGAGCGGTTTTGTTTCACTGGAAATCCACAGGAGGTTTGAGTCTTTCAACATAGGAAAGAGCAGGCGTTGGGGTGCCGCCCAGCCGGTCCCGGACGCCTTTCCAGGTTTGAACTATTGAACTATCTAATCCCTGCCCATGACCCATAGCAGTTTGACCATGGCGCAGCGTGTGGGCTAAATCGAGTGTGTTTGCATAGGGTCCTTGGGTCCTATTGCCCTGTGGATCTTAGTTGTCACTATAGTAAGTAAGGTAATCGGGCATGTTCCTTTTGTTTTTGCTGATTTTCTTAGTTTCAGGGAAATGGAACCACTGGTTGCTTCCCTGATTGCTTCTTTGATCTTCGGTATGAGTGTGAATCTTTCTTTTTGGTTGCAAATGCGTGCTTCCCACAAATCTGCGAGAAGTGAAGGTTTTGGGGGATGTTTGAGTGGCGGACTAGGGGAGTCTAGGCTCACCAACACAAATTGACACAATCTGACCATTTGGTTGGCCGGTAAACAACTTTTATAGTTGATTGCCGTTTTGTTGTAGGGGGGTCCCCTTACACTTCAACACACGCATGTGCGGGTGCCCTTTTTCGCATGGCCACTGGACAGTTGATTTCCGCGTTTTGAAATGCCTTGGAAGAGAAGTTCCCTCTTCAAGTGCCTTTTGCTTCCAGTTTATGCAGGTCCAAATCCGAGGAGCATTTAATCTCAACCACCTCAGTGATCATGCCATGTTTGTATCACTACAACTCAACCACAAAATATTGTCACACACACACACACCATCAGAGGAGCCTTGTTTTGTTTGACCTTGGCTCATGTGAGTCTGCGCGGATCGCACCAGGAGGCAGAGCTTATCCGGAAGAACCAGACTTGCCACAACGCGCCCCGGCGTGGGCACAAATCAAGACCCTAAGGCCCAAGATAAGACCTTGCTTGGAGCAGACGTGTCAAAGAACAAGCCACGGACCCACAGCTCTTCAGCCAGACAAAGGTATGCCTTCAGATTCATCCGGCGGACCGCACTCGTAAGACCCACTGAAACGAGCAAATGTGTTCGCCCCTGAGTAGTACGGTGCTGCGGATTGATGGTCTTAAGGCGGCTACCAAGCCGTGGCTGAGAGGGATGAGATGGATCAGCATCCCAAGAGGGCCAGTTGGCCAGCTTGCTGAAAGCATTTGGCAATTGTGCAAACCTCCCTCGCTCGGCCAAAACTGAAAAGTGAGCCTTTGGTGCCAGCACAAATCGAATTCACTTCTCATAGCTTCCCTTTCAAGTCTGTGGTGTTGTTCAAACCCACGTCCCTCGGAACGGCCCGGTTTACCCTTTTGGACAGTAGGGAAGCGTAGAAACCCCTTTTTGGGGGGCAGTCCCTCTGCTTTCCAGTATGTTCCTCAAAAGCAACAGAGGGTAAAAAGACCATTCCCGCAGCCCAAGCATGCGATCGCTGTTTGCACAACCTGCTGGTTGCCCCCTGCAACAATGGACAAGTGATCCACTGTGTGCTAGTTCCTAGTTGGTTGGAATCAGTCCTTTCCTTAACAACTAGAGAGTGTTCACACACCAAACACCAAGGAGGTTCTTCTGCAGGTTGCCTCAAGTCTTAAAAGCTCTTGTCCCGGTCAAGCCAGAGCAGCTACTAAGTTGAAAGATCAAGACCAGTGAACATGCTACGACCTGTGTAAAGAGTGGCTTAAACTCGTCCGCACTGGTTGGCACTGAGTCTTCTTGAACCCATGTAGGTTTTTGAACATCATTTCACAAGCCAAACATACAGCAAATATGTGGTTTCCTTTTGGGCTGCAACATCTGTGGATTATGTCGCACCCGGAGCCTAGGCAAAACCCGTTTTCGGCAAGCGGGTGCCGAGGAGCTGGCGGCCAGCTTCTCGGCGAAGCAGGCCACCTGCGAGCTGTACGAGGAGTTCAACTTCGCGGACGCAGGCGATGGAAATGGGGGCCGTGAGGATGGCGCGAGGTGTTCATGTGGCTCAAAACGCAAGAGCCAGGGACCGCAGGTTTTAGTCCACTTGTCAATAGGGTTTCATTTGGACCCCTCTTTTTGAGCCACACCTATGTGACAATCAAAACCGGGGCAAGTGAAGGTGAGTAAGGGATACTCCCAACCAATGGGTGCCTTCGCCGCCTGGTGAATTGATCTGTTGTTTCGGATGGCCGGCTTCATTTTATCATGTGAGCCACGTCCTCAAAACCGATTTGGGTGCTTGGGAAGGGAACATCTCCAACCAATAGGTGCCTTCGGCACCCATGTGTAAATTATGTTGTTTCACGCTTCTAGGTTGTAGGTAGACCATTTTAGTACCAGGTTTTGATTATGACGCAGGTGTCATTCAACTTTTTGACCTGACCGGTGTCGTCTTGAGGAAGTTTCCTTCGACTATCCCATTAAAGAAGTGCTTCTAGCAAAGGGACCGACAGCCCACTGCGGGACTTGGTGGAAGCCATTTTATTTGCTTGCCTTTCCCTACGCTTTTGTGGGGGCCAAGTAATAATTGTTCGTTGCCCTACGAAATGTGCAATGAAGCAATGGCATTCCATGGGTGACGTGTCACCCCAGACCTAGCTATGCTTCCCTGCATGGAGACATCAATCACGGAAAAGTCGCGGGGGTTATCCTCCCCCCCAACAAAGACCTTACTAAGCCCTCAGAAAGGCCTCGGTGCATCCTTGAGTGGAGGGCCCTTGGCTCGGGGCTAAAATCGGCGTCAAGGCTTTTCGACAAGCGTCTCTCGACATTGCCAGCCCCCCTTAATTATTGGCCAATCTTGGTTCTACTACCTGGTTTTATTCGGGGTTGCAGTGAGGCCTACACCAACCTTTGTAAGCATGTTGGCAGAACACAAGTCAATGGATTGTGGGCGCTGCGCTGCTCGCTTGTCTACTCCAGAGCTCCGATGTTCCCCTTGTTTATGTCCTTTGGGGCGGGTTTCCTTTTGGAATCAACCAACACAAGGCAGGGTGTCCGCTTTTTCTTCCCGCTCGCCACTGAAGGACTGGGTATCCAAGAAGCCAGCTAGCGGACACTCAGGAAGTTTGCCAGAAGTTGCCGTTTCCTCTCCGCGCGCGTGTTTTCCAGCCGAGTGTTCTGTTCAACACTCCCACGGTGATATCCCCAAAACAGCACAACAGGCTAGCTCAAAAGCTTTGGGTTGAGATCATCCCATCGGGGGAGGGAGGGTTCTCGCAATGTGGGGCCCCGCTCGCAATGCAAGGAAACCAAGAGACAACCAAGGAGACCCCCCAACCCCCCCCAAAAAAAAAACACAAAAGACAAAAACAACACATCGCGGATCATCGCGGTGTTCCTGTTACATTTCCTTTAAAAGCGCTAAAAACATGGGGGGTCGGTTCTGAAATCGACCCCTAGGTGCCGCTCGCGGGGCCCGGTGCGCTGACAAGGCCACCTTCTCAGGCCAGCTGTCAAGAGTCGAGCGAAGCAATGGGCGGAAATTTAGATGTTTGACCAACTGGGGGCTGGTTGGGGTGGTTGGGGGCGGTTGGCGTGGATGGCTGGGCTGGTTGGGGTGGTGGCTGGGGGTGGTTGGGTGGTGGCTGGAGGTCGTTGGGGGTAGTTGAAGGGAGGGTCCTCGGAGTCCCGTGAGCCTCAAAAATGGGTTTTCGCACCCGAAATGAAAGGCTGACAACCCAATTGTTCAAGGGACTTGGAGACTCGAGGAATCGAACTACTAACCCACGGACGTAAGCAACTTTTGCACAGGGGGCAATATCCAGCAAGAAAGAATCTACCTGAGGACTGGTCAAAAGTATAAGTAGTCGATTGTTCATTTGGGACATGTGGGACCTCACCAGATTCACCATTAAAAAAGAGGGTCATGCATTGCATGCAACCACGGAGCCACACATTTGTCAAGTCGGATGCGAGGCACCTACGAGGAGTATTTGGAGCGCGACATCCTGACGCTGAGCACCCTGAAAGCGCGGGGAAAGAACTGCACCGAGCCGTGGCTGCAGTGCACTTACCTATCCCCAGTGAAAGTGGGTGTGTGGTGTTTTGAGGGTTGAAACGGAAACCAAGAGGAGAACCACAATTTGTTGGCCCCCCCTTTGACACATCAATTTTGGACTTAGGGGAGGGGGGCAACCCCTGGAGATCTGCAGTTCCTCGTTTCCTTCTGGGAAGATGGGCGAAGCTTTGAATTTGGGAACCCCCCCAAAAAGAAAATTCGCCCAAGGAAGCTGGAGCGTTTTTTTTCCCAGCTCTCCGGCTCCTTCGGTTCTCACCTGGGGTTCAGTGAAATCGAGGGGGGTTGCAGCCCATCCGGCTCCAAGAGCTTGCGGGTGTCGTTTTTTTGGGGGCTCTGGTGTGCGGGGGGTTCCCTTGCGTCCGTTTCCCTGAGGCTTTCAGGGGTGGTTTTTTTGGTCCGTCCGTTTGCTGGGGCTTTCTTTCGGCTTTCAGTGGTTTTTTTTTGGGTTTCGGGTTGGGGTCCAACAATTCCACGGCCTTTCGCAGGGCATCTCCGAGTTCACCGCCCCAACGCCATGCGCCACGCGCCTTCCGAGCGCCGAGGACACCTCGGCGGTCTACGGGCTGAAGTCCACGGAGTGCTCCGCCGTGGCCAAGGCGCTCAGCGACAAGCTCCAGGAGCCGAGCGGAGAAGAGGTGCAGCAAAATGGGGGTTTCAGAGCTACGGTGGATGGACGAAATCCATTTCGCACCACTTGGAATCCATGGGAAACCATTGTTCGCTGCTGTTTACAGGGAACACATAATTCCAGGGTTTCTTAGGTGGTGCAGGATTTCGTCCATCCACAGTAGCTAGGGTCTCTGCATGACCCCTGGAGAAAAGGGCTCAGAACCGGGCCCCTGGATTTTGGGGAATGACCCCATTTTTGAAGGTCATGGAGACTCCAGGTAGCTTCTCATGTTAGTACCTCAGGTTGGGGCCGGAGGTACTGAAACATATATCAGTGTGTTTTGTTTTGAGGCTACCCTTTTTGGGGTGGCCAGGACTGCGAGTCGAGTCGACCCGCGTCCGAGTCGATGGATGTCGATGGCTTACTGGATCCCAGGAGTTTGTTTCGCCCCAAGCTTTTCATCATGTTGTCCTTCAATTGAAGGCTCTTTTATATCTTTTTTCTTCTCGGGGAGGTAAAAACAGTTGGGCCATGGGACGGAATCTGAGATGGGGGGTCGAGTACAGACGCCCAGGATCCAACTCGCGGAAACATCTCCGCGATGTTTCCGCGAGTTGGTTCCCCAAAAACTCGCCCTGGAGCCAAGGAGTAACCGCCGCAATTGATCCTCCGGTGGCGCCTCCGGGCGTGGGGTTTGTGTTGGCTTGGTGCCATTTGTTGGGTCGTGCCTGAGAGAAATCAATGCAAAAGCCATCATTTGGGGTGGCCCCACACTTCAACATATTTTACACCGATATTGCAAGGGAGGCAGCCGCATCCAGCGAATTCCTGGGGGGGGGGGAAGGATTTAGTACTTTAGTCCCTCGACATCGGGGGGCCGAGGATACAAGTGCCAGCCTTATCCCTGGAGCTGAGAAAGGCTGAAATACCAGTTGAGCAGTTCAGCAAAGGGGCCGGAAGGCACGCGGCTGGCGCGAGTTGATAGTGCCAGGGGTCATTTCAGGACCAAAGATGGTAAAACCTAGCAAAACCTGCCAGCCCAACAGATGGCTGTCAATGCATCGGAGGTCACTTGAGCCATTTGATTCCCGTTGGTCCGTCCTGGCGCGGATCCTGGCTGTCTTTGGCTCATTGGCTGTGAGCGAAAGACCACAGATGTAGGGATCCCCTTTTGGTTCCATCCAATTCTTTCAGGTGTTGCGATTGAAGTTGCGGATGCTTGGGGTGTTTGAAGAACAGGTTGTAGATGGTTGTGGATGGTTGGAAGGGTTGAATGCAGACGTCTGTCTTTCAAAGGGCCACTTGGTACCGAAGCGCGGCACCGGCATGTCACTGGCAGGAGTGCTTGGAGCTGGAAGTCCATCTGGCAGCCAGCAACGCGCTGCCCGAGCCCGTGTGGAACCCGAGTTACGAGTTTCCGTGGAACGAGTCCGCTGAAAAGCCGAAAGATGACCTACCACATCAATTGGTTTAGAACTTGTGAGTATTGCTGGGGCCAATTTCGAGTCTGCATTTGATGTGTTGCTGAATCTTTGTGTCCATTTGATGTGGTATGGCTGAATTTGATAATTATGTGACTTACAGTTGCTGAGTTTGAGTTTCCTTTTGGAAGCTACAGCAAATCATCGCTTGGGAGGCCTACATGTACGAGTTTTCTCGCCAAGTGCTCCCCCTGTTGTGGGATTTATGTTGCGAGCAGTTGCAGCAACACTGTGTAACTGATTTTGAGTTTGGGGTTGTTGTTTGCTTCGGAAGCTGTAGTATTGACTCTGCCTTTTTGTGTGTTCATGAGTTGTTTGAGTTAATGTGTGTCACGTCTTCTATTTGTTTGTTTTGATGGGCATGTTATGGGTCGTGATTGAGTGAAACTCAGGGGGATATGATGTAGAAGGGATTGTGGCAAATGCAAGCTGCAAGCCGCGTTACCCGCACCGTGACAGGCAAACCAACAGGTTTCGGATCACTTGGCACAACCTTTCCGGGGTAAGCACATAGGTAACATGCGCACGGGGAAAGACATGAGTGATACAGTAGCTCCTGGGGTTTTTTTGACGGCGTGATAACCCTGACCTCAACTTTGAGACGAACGCCCGCCGGGAGTTAGACATTCGACATGTTTCGCTTCAATCTGTGGTGTCTCTGCTTGAACCTTGCGGCGAGTGATGGGACGCTACTGCTGTGACATCCGTTCTGGGCAGTACCTGAGTCAAAGCAAGATTTGCGACCTGTTATCTCTCGTCTGCGCGATCCCACCCTTCCAGAATCGTGTCTTGAGGGATGAGCATAGTCATTTGGTTCCTTCTTAGAAAGTACCAAGGGGCCCCAATTGGCAAAGTTTCTGTTGAGCAGACTGCCGCGGAAAGCCAAGGGCCCAATCATGACTCACCTCAATAGCCTCTGACGGCAACTAGTGGTCACCAGTCAAACGGTCTCCGAACGCACTGTCCGTTTCCCTTTGACCACTTGAAAATCATACCACAAACACTCGACAAATATGAGCAGACTACTTTGCCCTCCCCCAGGGATGTGTGTGTGGGGGGGTTCTTTCTTCAGCTTCCCTGTTGGTGGGTTGGATTGGTGTTGCGGGGTGGCTTTTCTGCACAAGCCAGTTCAAATCCTCAAACCACCCCAATTTCCCATCTACCCGCTACAAATGCCAGGGCTTCAAATCCGTGGTCCGCACCACTCCAAGCGACCAATTCGTGGGAAGTTGATTCGCTGATTGCCCCTTGTCCATGGAACCCTCTGAGTAGTCCTGCACCACAGGCTCTCAACAAACCAGCATCCTCCAAGGGATAATTTGCGACTGCCTGGGGGTTTTGGACATGGGGGTTGATCCATATTCCATTCAGGGCCCCAACTTCCCATGGGCGACTTTTCCCATTCAGTGGGACACATCATGTGTTAGCGGCTTTCCCCAATGTCCCATGTAAAGGACCTTTTGATCAACCCCCCACATGGGAAAGAGCTGCCGTTTGAGGGCTGCCGTAAATTTGCCACTTGCTCCAGAATCCAAAATGTCAAAGTTATCACCGGAATTGTTTATTTTGGTGTCATGGGTTTCGAGTTGTTTCCTGCCACTTTTTTCGCTACTCGCGGAATAAACCCAATGACTGGTTCACCAGGGAGATAGAGGCAAGCAGCTTCCAGCAGTTTTCTGACTTAGTTTTGGCCATAGAAGCCCCAACCAACTTAGCAGGTTCTGTGATTATGGACCTGGTGCTGAGGTTAGCCCCTTACTCCATCCCACTCGATTCCAGGCGGTTTGCCCCTTTGCCATGTTTTTGCTTTTAGGGTGGGAACTCTGGTTACCTAGGAAGATGGAATCAATGGTTACAACCTGGGTGAAAAGCTCAACCAACTCAACCAGTATAGGTATAGGGTCTAGGTTATATATCTCTGGATGGACCTGGGGCCGGGGACAGTCTGGTGGCCACAACCTACCAAGCGCCACCAAAAAAAACACGCCGAGGCCCCATCCCAGGCGGCACCCGTCCAGGTGAACTGCCGCTTGGCCGTGTTCTGTTCGTGAGGCTATCGGGCGCCCTTTCCCGATGACATGGAAAGCCAAAGGAAAACACCACACTGCGTTGTGGGTCACCGCAAATTTTTCATGCGCGCGCACAGAGACGCAGACACACAGGCACTCAGAAACACGCAGGGCCACAGACACACATGTCGCACATGTTTTGGTGTGCCTCCCAGTTCACCACGAAAGGTGACCCTGGAATGTGAATCAACCGGTTAATGTTGACCCCGTATTAGTCCGTACCCCCCCCCCCCTTGAAGGTCAGAAAGGTTTGGGGGGGCAAGAGTTTGGAAGGTTTTTTGCCTCCACCCCCTAAATAATCTGGAATTGAGTTTACATTTGATTTAGTATTGCTGGAGCTTCCTTTTGAGATCTGGAATTGAGTTTCCATTTAATTGAGTATTGCTGGAGCTTCCTTTTGAGATCTGGAATTGAGTTGCCATTTGATTTAGTATTGCTGGAGCTTCCTTTTGAGATCTGGAATTGAGTTGCCATTTGATTTAGTATTGCTGGAGCTTCCTTTTGAGATCTGGAATTGAGTTTCCATTTGATTTAGTATTGCTGGAGCTTCCTTTTGAGATCTGGAATTGAGTTGCCATTTGATTTAGTATTGCTGGAGCTTCCTTTTGAGATCTGGAATTGAGTTTCCATTTGATTTAGTATTGAGAAGGCCTGGTTGTCTTTTTTTGGGGTGGAGCCGATGGACCGCACTAATTAGGGGGGGGTTATTAATTGGGGGTGTAAGGGGCTAATGTGGGGTACCCTTTGAAACCTTCTAAACTTGACTTTTTAGTAAAGGATTTAAGAAGAATTCGACCATCTCAGAGCACTTTTCGTTTTGTGGTTTGGGCAGGCCCAAAAGCATCCACCAAACTTCAAGATGAGAGTAGGAGGTGGAGATGGGAGCCCTAAGCAAGGCGGCAGTATCAGAAGAAAGCATGAGCCCATTTGAGCCAAAGCACCTTTTCAGGACACCATCCAGAGAAAGCGTGGCAAGCAGCATGAGTCCACAATCCTCAACATCAGCAGCATCAGCCAGCACCAAAAACCAGTTTACATTCGAATGAGCTCAAGAAGCAGTGGAGAAAATGAGATAGCAGCAGCCATCTGGGGCAGGGACCGGTTTAATTGGGGTTGGTTTTTTGGATCATTTTTTCATTTCAGGGGTAATTTCTGAGTTCTGAATTGTTTAGTATTGGGGGGTGTCACCCGGACCGGGCCAATATGGGGGGGATTTTTAATACAACGTCAACATTACAAGAAGGTGGTTCCGCAGACAAGTTTGAATCCCTCCCAAAATGGATTGTTTCGATGTCCTTGCCCATCAAAAGAACCTGGAAGGGGTACCTTGGGAAAGACACACCTAGAGTCTCCATGACGCTTAGAACATGGGGGTCATGACCCCCAGCCGCCGGATGGCGGCACACTAGGGAGAGTGCAGACGTTCGGCCCATTTTCTTTGAACAACGCTGGAAATTCACGGAACGGTGACCTGCAACACATAGAGATGCTGCCTCGCAACTTTGGTACAAATTTGGGGTGTGCGTGAAAATGAGTGGTAGCGATGCTAGTTGTCCTCTTGGCTTCCCTTTGAACCAATGTGAAAAGGGTACACACCTGAGCCATCCTCTTGGCGGGTGTGATGTTTGTTCATACCTTTGGTGGACAGTTGAGGGATTCATGTCCACCACTTTTGTGGTTGCTATTTTAAAACAAATCGCCCGGCCACTTTGTCGCCATAGACCAACAGTTGGTTTGGCCCATATGAACCCATCACCCGAATCCAGAGGAACCTCTTAGGTGGGCCCTGGGCGGCCAAAGTGGCCGCCTGCAGCAACTACGACACCTGCTACACCACCAAGGCGCACAGCAAGTGTTCGCTTAAGCTGTTGCAGCGATCCCTATTTATATATATATATTAGGGGGTTGAGTATATATATATATATATACATGCGGTTTGATCACTATTCCATTTCGGGCCCCCGAACGACCAGGGGCAACTTGTCCCATTTAGTGGGAAATAGCATCTTGATTTGTTGTTTTCCCCAATGGTCATCCCATGGAAAGGATCTTTTGATCAACCCTCATATGTACATATATACAGAAATATGATTGTGGGTGTGCGCGTGTTTTCTTGAGGGCCCGAAAGGAAACCATTCATTTTGGGTTCCCCCTATTTTGCTATTTTGGCAGACACTCATATATTATATGGGTCGAAAAAGAAAGCCCGCGCCTGTTCGTTATGTAAGGGCCCTTCACTCTCTTTGCAGGCCCGGAACACTGACCGATGCCATGAAGATACCTATAGTAACCATGAAGGCACATCAGTTCCAAGTTGTTGTCGCAATCCAAAATTTGCGGAGGCAGACATTTGCAGCGCCCAAACCGACAGAACGGATACCCAAGCGAGAGCCAATTGTTGTCCCGGAGCTGCCAACGGGCAAGCGACATGGCACTGAATCATCTCGAAGAATTCGTCCCTTCGGAGAAACAACCAGGTTTAGTTGGGCTGGAGAAAGCAAGAAGGCCTAGAACAAGTTTTGGATATGGCTTGTATGGATCCAATCATGTAGGATATTGAAAGAGTACCAAAAGCTGCTTCTAGAAGGACCAACAAGGGCTTCAGAACAGGTGAAAGTTCCTCAAAAAATGCATTTTTAGGTAACTTGCCATTTCCTTTTTGTCATCGAAGGGTTCCAAGTTGGTTACCTAGATGAAATCACTTGATCCCTAAAACGGTTCCATCGCAGAATACTGGGAATTTGTTTCTAGTCTTCGAGGAATCCACCCCCAATTTTTTTGGTTGTCCCCGTGTGAGTTACACCCATGGCTTCTAACTACTACGTCCTCTGCCCCTCTGAGTAGGGCACCATGTCTTATCTACCCATGGTACATTTTGATGGCACTTGTTTAGATTAAATCCATCTTCATCTGCTGATACCAGAAAGCATCGTCTACAGCCTTTGTTGTATCTGTTGCAGGAAGTCATGGGCATTGTTCTATCCAACCTCATATTCCAGCATAACCCCAACCAACCAACCAACCAACGTTTTTAGGCTTTCCCCTGGTTGTTGGGAAACATGTTACATTCTTGCTTATTGTGGTTGAGTGGTTGAAATCCAACCACTGAACTGCTGCAAAAACACATTTTTTGCTCCCCAAACCCAACGTCAACCGAGCCCCCTTCTACCGGATTCGGAGTCGCGGATTCGGATGGACTCGCGAGGTGGCCATGCAGGAGAGCGCCTACACCTCGGCCCAGCAGTTGGCCACCAGCCGCCAGGCCAGGCGCTTGGCCCAGCGGGCGTTGGGCACCCCACCCCGGCTAAAAATGGGCTCAAAAATCAAAATTATCTCTAATTACTAATATCACAACATATACTAAATCGTTTAGTTGACGTTCCTTCTGGGGCTGTGCCAATTTGTTTGGCTTCCCTAAGCCCTCCAAAAACCAAAGGAAATACCTCAAACAGCCTTTTTTGGGGGTACCTCTCCCGCCCAAAAAAAAACCGAAACAACAAGAAAAACATCCGAGGACCAAGAAGAGCGCTTCCCTTTTGGGGTCTCAAAAGAAGCACCAAGCCAAATGCCCGAATGGTGCCCACCAGTTGGTTCTTAAGATCCTGCCCCTTTGGACTCCAGCGGAATCCGGCCTCCTTTTTTCAAAGGACACCCAGCAGCCAAAGCTCCACGCGTTCGTCACCCCCCCCCACCCCATGATTGTTTTTGCAGGGTACTCTGTTGGGTTTGGTTCAAAGGGACACCAAAAGGAAACTGGCCATTTTGGGGTCAGACAGGCCCATATGCCACCCAAGAATACAAACATGTATTGTATTAATATACATATATGATATATAATAGATACATCATGCATCGTTGGAGCGGAGTTGACGAATTGGATATTGGCCAGGTTGGTAGTGGTTTCCCTTGGCAGTGTCCCACCAGGGATTCCGGATTAGAGATCCCTCCATGTTGAACAACCCAGGCCGGAAGATAGACATCGCTAAAACGGACAGATGTTTTGATTTCCCAAGCACAAAAAATTGATGGATGAGTTCAGGTTTCATAAACCCAGCTCTTTAGAACCCAGCTCTTCGCGGTCTTGGCTGTAAGATTCTGGTCCCAGACCTTCATGCTCTTTCATTATGTGGAGGGAGGTTCCTTTAAGAAGCTGGTTGCTTTCTTGGACATAAAAAGCACAACGTGTTTCTTGAAATCTGTGGCCCTCGGTTGCTCCCATGGTGCAAGTACCAAACACAGATGGCCCATGTCTCTCCCAGATCGGAGGTCAGGGTCGCCCATTTGGATGGTTTGAAACCGCTCAACACTGCCCCAAGGGCCACAGCTCTACCCGCTGTGGCAAGGGTTTTTTGGGGGGGCCACGAAGCTGTACCATTTTGGGGTTTTCGGCGCACACCTCGGGTGTTCGTTCGCTTTGTGGCAGGGGGTCATCTTGCCAAAGCCAGTTGCCCAGTGGATTCCGCCCTCTTGCCCAACTTTGTTTGGGGCCAAACCCCTGGTTTTCCCCATGGAACTCCACTGGCATCGGAGCAAAGCCAGTCACCAACTCTTGGGAGAAACGGCTCCCCAAAAGCCATTGAAAGCCAAGTCGCCCACTGAAGGGATTCGTTTCAGGCAGCGTTTTCTTGTTGCGGGTGGGCCAATTACCCTGGGGTTTGGACACCTCGGATCCGCCCACTCTTTGTGGGTCACGCTTGGTTTTCTGGGTTTCCAGTGCTTGTCATATATGTATACATACATATACATATATGCATATATATATATATATACACATATTTGTTAAAATTGGGGGCTCCAGCATGGGTTGGTGTCTTCCCGGTTTCCGTTGAAGCCAACCCCAAAGAGGGTACCTACCCAAAAACACCACAAAGTCATATTGCCCATGAAATGTGGCTTCACCCTTCAACATGGTTTTGCGGATATCACGGACATCCATGTACTCCTGGCCTCTTAGGGGTGCCGGTTGAAATTCGTTCCGGGTATTTGTTCGAGTTTTTCTTGGAGCGACATGCTAGTTGATATGTGATTGATGACTGGTTGAAGGCACATCAACATGGGTTGGACGCCTCCCCACCCAGTTGAATTCTCTGGTGCGGGTCAACACAAAATGCAAGAACAACGCGTTAGAAACACAGTTATTAGCTGGAAAATAGATAGCCGCATCTGATAAAGCTGGTAGTCTGACTGGTGCAACCTGGACACACAAGCAACCAACTCAAGTGGTTCTTGCAGTCAACAGGTAGGACAGGTAAACGGAGCTGGGAGTCTGGGAGCAGATTTTCGGCTGGAGTTGATAGGCGGAGTCCACGGCCCTGCAGCGCATCGCCTGCCTCTTGGATGCCGCGCGGCCGAAGAAGAAGGGGCGGGGTGCTCTTTGGGCGCTACAGCGGTGGTTTTCTCCAGGAGTGCCGCCAGTTTTTTTTGCAGCCCCAAAAAGGGTACACGCGAAAAAGACGGCCACCAAATCGCTCAGAATTGTGGATTGCCCAAAGGGAATTTTAAATGAAAGTGTGCTTTCATGCGCCGTCTGCAACACGCAGTTCTGTGGATGGGCACCGGTTGGTAGGTGGTGTATCATCCCAACCGGGGCAAAATGGATTTGTCAATTCACAGTGAGGGGCGCAGCCCGTTGGATCCGAAAAAGTTCCGCCATCTATGGTAACAGTACCAGGTTGCTCACTCTTGCGGTACCTGGAAGTACTGTGCCAGAGTTCCCGCATGAACTTGAAAGATATGTTTTTTTTTTTTTTTTCTCGGAATCTGCTATTGAAGGAATCTGCTATTGAACCACCCGGTGCGGCTTGTTCTCGAACCCGCAAAGGGATGTCGAATGTGTCAGTGCACAGGAAAGCATCGTGTGGAGGGGTCAAGGACTGAGAGTTGTCCTCCAGGATTCTGGTCCCACTGGCCAGTACCCGCAGAGACACGGGGTATCCACGGGTCCCCTCGATTTTAGTGCTTCACTCGTCAGACTCTGCGGGTTGGGGTAGTGGGAGACCATATGGAAATCCCACCCTGTGTGGGATTTCCTGTTTGAAGACACGAATGCGAATCCACTGAAAGCGGATTGGTGCACTTGCCAAATTCACCGATCGCCCCTTTAGTACAAGGGGCGAACTAGGTACAAACATGATTGTCCCATGATTTAAAGAGCTATGTTGGTCTACTTATCCCCCAAACCGTCTAAGCATTTAATTTTAGGCTCCCTTAAGTACCTTGTTTCAACCCCGTTGTTCAGTGGATTTTACCGTTCCCCAACCAAGCAAACGCCCCGCCAACTGAATGTACAAACTGAGTAATTATTCATCAATCTTTGCCGCAAGCCATTCCAATGAAACAACCAATACCCAATTTGGTTTCTTTGGTTTTGGTGCCGCGCATGGAGGTGACTTGCCACCCACCAACCGTTGCCTGGCGCGGACCTTTGTACATGTAGAGAACTGGGTGTTAAATACGGGGGCTGGAACAAACAGAAGGAATTCCAACCCCTTCAAGTTTTCCATTTTGGGTGCCCTCCCACCAATTCACATCCATGTTTATCGGTGGGAGGGTAAGTTAAGCCACAATCCCATCCACGTTGGCTTTCCATGCTGGACAAACAAAGAAAAAACAAGCCGGGCGTTTTGGGCCGTTTTTTTTTGTGAGTGCCTTCTCTTGGCACACGACAAAAACAAACCAATCAGTGGGTTGAGGTTCTGGAGGCTGGCACTGCAGACCAGTCCGACAAGCTCGCGGCGCCTTGGCGTTTGGGCGGCCGGGGGGGGGGGGAATATTACGAAATCCTGCAGCAAATTGAATCCAGGACAAACCATTGTTTGTTGGTATTTACAGGTGTTTGAGTTTCTTAGGTGGTGCAGGATTTCGTCCATCCACAGCATGTGTCAAAATATGGGGAGGGGGGGGGGAAAGAGGTGGTTTCCTTTTGGTATTTCCTGTTCTAGCAACAAAAAGGGTTTCAGGAAAAGTCATGTCAGAACCCTCATCGGACTCGCTATTGGGGGCAAAGGATCTCTGTATATCAAGCTCTTGGACCTCAAAAGGGCTCTTTTCGAGGTCCCAAGATTCTGAGGGGAAAACCAGCACCGTTACTCATCCCTTTTTGAAGCAGACTTGGGTCGCATTTTCGACCATGCGCAGACCATGGCGGTTTTGATTTGGCTGGCTGGAATGCATCATCCACGGGCTTTGTGGTGGTGACACCCCAAAAGCAGAGACAAACGATGCAGTTTTGCGGTTCAGCCATGCGTCTCTTCAGGCACCCGATTTCTCTGCGGTGTTGAACCATTTTCTGAAGAGACAAAATCCTGAACAGCAACACTGGTTTTCACTGGTTTGTGCCCAACATAGACCTCAAGCAAACAAGCAACCATCGAACAAACCAACAAACAAGGACACAAACACAATCCAGCACACACACACACACATCAACACACACACACACACAGACCGCAAGGATGCGTCGCTCCTTTTTTTCCATCCCTGCAATATGCAAGTGGAACAAATTGCTTGTACGTGCGTTGTCAGACAGAAATGCTTTGCCAGCAACCGGCTTAAACCAAAAATGTGTCGGGACATCTGCAGGTATGGCGGAGTGACCAACTCTGATATCCCTTCTTGCTGCCTAGCTTTGTTAAATCGGGTCAACGGCAAGATGTTTAGTCCATCTGCTTCTTTAACAGCTTGCGGGCGAATAAGTGTTCAATAGCGAAGTGTTTGTCAGAGATGCGGTCTGAGCTCAAGGGCTCCTTCAAAGATGCAATTGCCACAGCAGCTTTTCCACAAGACTGTTTTTTTCCTCCTGGAAAAGGGGATGTTGAGGTGGATAACATAAGAACCGCTGTTGAGGACCCCAAGCTGGATTGCGGCGGCTTATGGAGGGTACGTGGAAAATATACGAACCCCATAGGCCAACCTCAAATCCAAGACTGATTGAGAGCCACAGCAAGGAAGACCATAGAAATCATGAGACTTCATTATTGGTCATGAATCCCTGGTTGCCAATAAAGTGTCGCAACTTATCAAACATGGGATGATGCCCAAAACATGTAGGTCAGCCCTCCTTAACGCCGGGGCTTTCTCTCAAATTGCCAAACCAAGTGTCCCAAAACGAGTCATTGATTTTTCCGGGATGGGGTTCATAAATCAGCCATGACTTGTTTCAGGGCCATTCGGGCTGCCCCACTCTTCTCCGCGCAAG